GAGTGAGATATAATTTTTTACTTTGTTTTTCTTGCTCTGTCATCTAAGTAAAGCTCCTTTTCAAACTGTTAGCCTGTGTGAAGACACCACTGCAAAAAAAGGAATGAGAAAAGTTGTCTCTGTAATTGATCTGGAAACTCTCAGTTTCCAAGTACTATATTGGCCAGAGCAGTGAGAATAAAGGGACGGAAATCTCATAAAGATGAAAATATAGCCGTAAAAGGCCACTTGTGCAGCTGTTCTCTCCTGCCATGACTGTCTGATTCAACTCCTCTTTCCCTCTCTCTGGCTTTACATGGACCATGGGTTGGGATTTTCCCCTGGGGGAAGGGGGGGGGGGGGCGCTGGCTGATAGGAGAGTGGCTGATGAGAGTAGAACTAGGGAGCTGGAGTGGAACTAGAGAACTGAGACAACAGCCTAAGGTTGGCTTTTGTCACAGTTTGCTCATTTCCTTCTTAACAGGACTAACAGGCTATATTACCTTTCCATTCAGGTATGAAAACTTATGAATTCTTTCATTGTATTTGCTTACGACCACAGCCCCAAAGTTATCTAGCTACAGTTGCCTACTCTCAGTGTTCCAGGTGTGATAACTTAGCCTCCGCGTTTTGAAGATATCACCTTTGCTGCTCAGTCCCTTCTGTGTGGCTTACCACCGCCACTGTTCCAGAAAAATATGATGGTGAGCCATCTGGGTGAAAATCCAGCGAGAAAGTGGAGCCAGAGAGGTTGGAGGACAATGGTTTCCTTCACTCTGATCTCCTGTCTTCCTTAGGAAATGAAATATCCTCCCCTCCTTTATAAAAGAGAAAGAGGGAAAGAAAGAGAAAAGCCAGTCAAACTGGTATTGCCAAGGCATTTTTTATTCCCCAACAACTTCATTGCTGCCTCCTAGTGAAAGTTTTAGAATTGAAAAAAGACCATTGACTGGGGAGGATTTGGGGATTGGGTGGAAGAAACTGAATTTGCACAGACTCACAAACTCTTTCTGAGAGTGTCTCTGTCAGTTTCTGATTGGATACATTTGTGAGCACAGGTGTATTACTGAGGCCACAAGGAAAATACAGAACCCACGCAGATTCTACTGATCAAGATACACTTTTCTGTGGGGGTTCACAATCAAGAGTTGCAAAAAAAAAAAAAAAAAAAAAAAGCCCAACAAACTTATAGTTCTCTTTCAATTCATTTTTCTTTTACTATTCACTCACACAGAGTATTCTCTTGCCCATATCTTGGTATTTTTCACCTTTAGGTAAAAAAAATGTATAAGAACAAAAGTATAATATTACATTTATTCAAATGTAAAATCCGTGGAAATCTATTTTGGTACATAAAAAAGAGAAGGCATGGGACTTACTTTGTGGAAAGCTCAACCAGACTCAGGTAAGAGGCGTGAGGTTGGTTCATAACAGCAGTGCCTGCTGCCTTCCTTTCATGCACAGCTTCCTGTGAGGACCTTGCCTTGGTTGGCAAGAGTTTAGGCCAAGAATATTGATTCCCTAAAAACTGAAATCAAAAAACAAATCTCTTCTGTTTTGAAATGTGTGCAATTTTATTTGGTGAACAGACAAACAAGCAGACCAACAGCCATTTTCTTTTTAGGTATGAAAAGCATCTTTGTTTTGCACAGGTTAACATTCTTGGACTTAAGAACTTTGAAAATTTTGTTTATTTAATATTATTAAACAGGGGATATTGCACAATTTACAAAACTACCAAGGAAGCATGTGTGTTTTATTTTTATACAATATTGCACAGATAAGCATACATTTCAATCACATATATAAACCTTTCTTTCCATTGTAATAATGCATTGCAATATATTTTTTAACTTACACTTGAAAGGAGTATATTATCATTAAACTAACCAATATAAAACATCTTTTCTCAATCCTTACCTTTTGTATATGTCAAGATAATTTGTATGATTAGGCTCGACTGTGTTCACAATGTTTAGTGACTAATAGTGTTTCATATCTTGCATCCTCATGCACATGTTCTTTGTATGACAGTGGATCATATTTTGTCTCAAAACTACTCAGCAAGTTAGTAGGTTACAAGCTCAGAGCGGATAATTTGGTAGTTTATCATCACAAAACAGTATATTGAATATCCTACTCAGTGTAATTACACCTTCTAGTGTTTTAATGTTGCTCCACCGAGTCTGTGAAGGACAGAGTGTCTTTAGAGAGCCTGTTGAGGAATACGGTTCTAGAGAAATCATCCCAATTGTTGTAGCAATACAAGGGCATAGCTAATACAAAGTAATCATTTGTAAATGTAGTAGCTTAAGAAAAATAGACGCCTACACCTTCCACTGCTGATTTCCATTTCTACATGAAAGCAACAATCTCCATTCTATGTATACCAATGAGCAATAAAACAAGCTCACCTCTTAAATGAACAGCTTTTAAGTCCGTCATTTCAATCAGTGCTCCGGGTCTGTGTTTGTTTGTGTGTGAGTGAAACATATATCACAGGGAAGACTGGCAGAGTTAATCACTTACAGAACTTCCCACTGGCTGGCACACACCACAGGGCCAGGTAAAAGCTACACTGCCAGAGAAAGAAGGCAAGCAAGTTCTCCCTGAAGGGCAGGACAACTTATGAATGAAACTCTCAGACTGATCATGTTATAAGCATGCTGCAGTGTACCGAGAAGTGAGAAAAATATGCAAACAAAATCATGCTATTTGATTTTCGCATCATGTCAACTATAAAAAAAAAACTGCTCTTAAGAAAAGTGTGTTTAACAACACAGAAATATCCCAGAATGTCGTGATGGGCGTGTTTCACTTTTTTTTTTCTTTTATAGAGAAACATTCTCTATTTCCTTTTTATATTGAACGCCTTCACCCACACTCTGCATTTAAGTGAGATACTGTAAGCTAACCGTACCTAAAGAGATCAGCATATAGATGGCTCTGACGACCAGAATCGACACAGAATTTTTAAAAAGCGGAACAGTCAGCCAAGAATGCCTAAACGATTGCCAAGAGCATGCTCCGTCCCTCCTCAGTTATTTTTCACATTTCTACCTCTGACTGCGTTCATCACCGGTGCAAGAAAATGCGCGAAGCATCTGTTCCAAGTAACATCTGAGCATCCAAAGCAAACAAGCACGTTCTTGCTAGGAAAAGTCTCCCAAATATTTAGGGTGCCTCCACGAGACTCTCCCCGTGAGCTCCTCCTTTCTCTGGGCAGAGGCTCCCAGAGCCTCCCCCGCTGCTGCTCCGGCGGGCTAGGGTAGCAGGGATGACTCCGGGGGTTGCCAACTGCCAAACAGCTCGCAGACTCCGTGGTGCATCCCGGCTCTCCACTCGCCCAACACAACTCCAAGTGAGCGAAAAGGAGTGGGAGGAGGAGTAAGGAGGAGGGAGGAGGAGGAGGGAGAGGCAAAAGGGATCCAGTTTAATGTGAGGTCCTGGGGGTGAGGGAGCGGGAGGAGGCTCCTCTGATCCCTCCTCCCTCCGGAGTCCTGGGCTCCACCTCCTCCACATGCCCCCAGATATACACACTCCGGGCCGCGGCCGGACATGCACTCCCAGCGCCGGCTCCGGGCGCGAGCGCACGCAGGTAGCCGCCCTCCCCTGAGCTGGTGCGCGGCGCTCCGCCGCCTCGGGAGCCGCGGGGCGGAGCGGCGGCCGCGGCTGGGAAAGGCCGGGAAGGGCCGGGAAGGGGCCCGCTGCGCCGCGGCAATCAGGGACGCGGGAACGGCCCCGGCGCGGATCTGCGAACGGAGGTGACGGCGCGGTTTCCTTAAATCCCCGCCTCCAGCACCTCGGCTCCGCGCCCGCCGGCTTCTGGCCAGAGAACCCCGGAAAGAGGGGCCCCGGGTCGGGACGAACAGGCGGGAGCGCACCGCGGGGCCAGCGCGCCGGCGCAGGGAACTTGGGCGAAGTTAGTTACAAGTGCCCGGCGGAGACCCAGGCGGAGATCCAGGCGGAGACCCAGGCGGGGACCCAGGCGGACCCGGAGAGACCCCGGCGGAGACCCGGAGGAGCGAGGTGGGGACGCGGCCGGGGCCGGGGCAGCGCCGCCTGCCTAGCTCGGCGCTCTCTCCCCGATCTCAAGTCCGGCCGGCGCGCCCGGCGGGGTCCGGAGCTAGCGGAGCCGGCATGGCCCCCGGTACTGTTGTGAGACGCGGCACCTCGACTACTCCGGAGGGTTTCCTCTGAGGCCCGGGGACCCCAGCCTCGATCAAGCCACATCCTACCTCCTTCTCCGACCCTCAGCTGCTGGAGAGGAAGACCCGCGAGGCAGGTGCCGGGGGCGCAGACAGTGCCCCCCTTCCACAAAACCCAGCCTTTTGGGGGGTAAGGGGGAGAAATTGGGGGGGCCCCATCAGCTCACCCTGCCCGGAGTCAGGAAGACCGGCTGGAGCTGCTGCTGTATTGGGGTTGATATCCATTGCTGCACCCGGACCCCCCTCCGCCTCCCCCTCCTCTCCCTCCTCCGGGGCCACCTCTGCTCCTCCTCCCCCACCCCCATCTGCTACTGTCAAATGAGAAAGTCACCGAGATCCCAAGCACTCCAGCCGCCGAGAGCCCCCTTTGGCACTTGGCAGCGCTCGGCGATCGACCCCTCTCTCGGCTCAACTTGGCGAAACCTCCGCGACGCAACTTCTTTCCGGGAGACTGTGCATTTCCGAGAGAAAAGACTGAGCTCCGCCGGGCAGAGACTGACTACCTGCGGGGAGTTTGCAAGAACACGCCAGCGGAGAGGAAGGACACACAGAAAGCAGAGAGCAAACTGCCCCCGTGGGGTGGGGGCACCGTGCGCCTGAAAGTTATCCTGCTCCGGAGAGTTTTGTGGCCCCCGATCGCTCCGCCGGAGCGGGCTGGGCGGCCTGAGACGCGGCGCGGCCCTGGGCTGGCCCCCCGGCCCCCTCCTCCCGGGCGGGAGCGCGTCCCCGCGGGCGGCCAGCATTGATCTCCTCCGGGCCCAGGGCGGCGGCCCGGGCGGCGGCGGGCTGCAGCCGCGGCCCGGCGGCGAGAGCATGGCCAAGCCGGTGGACCACGTCAAGCGGCCCATGAACGCGTTCATGGTGTGGTCGCGGGCCCAGCGGCGCAAGATGGCCCAGGAGAACCCCAAGATGCACAACTCGGAGATCAGCAAGCGCCTGGGCGCCGAGTGGAAGCTGCTCACGGAGTCGGAGAAGCGGCCGTTCATCGACGAGGCGAAGCGCCTGCGCGCCATGCACATGAAGGAGCACCCCGACTACAAGTACCGGCCGCGGCGCAAGCCCAAGACGCTGCTCAAGAAGGACAAGTTCGCCTTCCCCGTGCCCTACGGCCTCGGGGGCGGCGTGGCCGACGCCGAGCACCCGGCGCTCAAGGCGGGCGCCGGGCTGCACGCGGGCGCGGGCGGCGGCGGCCTGGTGCCCGAGTCGCTGCTCGCCAACCCGGAGAAGGCGGCCGCCGCCGCCGCCGCCGCCGCCGCCCGCGTCTTCTTCCCGCAATCGGCCGCCGCCGCAGCAGCAGCCGCCGCCGCCGCCGCCGCGGGCAGCCCCTACTCCCTGCTCGACCTGGGCTCCAAGATGGCAGAGATCTCGTCGTCGTCGTCCGGCCTCCCGTACGCGTCGTCGCTGGGCTACCCGACCGCGGGCGCGGGCTCCTTCCACGGCGCGGCGGCGGCGGCGGCTGCAGCGGCCGCGGCGGCCGCCGGGGGGCACACGCACTCGCACCCCAGCCCGGGCAACCCGGGCTACATGATCCCGTGCAACTGCAGCGCCTGGCCCAGCCCCGGGCTGCAGCCGCCGCTCGCCTACATCCTGCTGCCGGGCATGGGCAAGCCTCAGCTGGACCCTTACCCCGCGGCCTACGCCGCCGCGCTATGACCCCCCGCGGGGCCACCTGGCGAGGTTCGGGGTGCGCACACATGTACATATGTATAGGTACGAGCTCTGCGGGACCTCGGGCTGTTTGTACAGAAGATGTATAGGTGCCAGGCAGAGGCAGAGATGCCAGTCGGGGGGCGCGGAGTGCGCGTGGGAATTCCCAGGATCATTTTAGGACCGCACTTGGGCAGCCAACTTGACAGCGGGCGATGGTATTCATTCCGGCAGCAGTTGGCAGTTTGGTTTGCACTTCGGAACCTGTTGCGTTTTGGCCCATTATTGGTGGAGGAGTAACTTTTTCACGTGTTGGGCCCTCCAGTTTTGTTGGTTGGACGTTTATTGTCGGTTTTGTTTTTGTTTCTCATTATCTTTTTTTTTTTCTTTCACTCCTGGTCTGTGTTGCATGCACACTGTTCAAATGTTAGGTCTGAAATGGCTGACACAAGGGAAAAACCAGATCGATGCTATTCGTTTCTTTGGAGCGGGATTTGGTTCTAAGCAACCTCGCTCCCTAATGGTACTATTTTGAACTTTGCAAATCTCTGCTCTCTCAAGCAGAAACCCCAGGCCGGATCCATTCTTGACCAGTGACCAGCTCGAATCTGGCCTTTTGTATGGGAGATGATCCGCGATCTCTTACGCCATATGCCAATCAGAGCAAGAGCTCTTTCTCAAGAGCAAGGAATGCAAACAAGAAATATGTGTGAGATTGAAAAGTTGTCAATTGGATCTTCCCCCTCAAATAAAAATAAAACAGGTAGAAATCACCCTGAGTCCACTCACTTGGGATTTCTGACACAGCTTCTAGATAATGTAAAGGCCCTGTTTCTATTTTCCCCTATGGCTGAGATTGTAAATGTGTACATATTCATGAAAAAATTAAGTCTGAGAATGTGTTCATTTGCGTTGCCCTAAATTTGAGTCGATTTTAGGCTCTAAAGCATTTTGAGCAAGTATCAAAGTTAACTTTTAAAAATTGCGGTACTATTTTAGAATCACAATGTTACCTAAGATTAAATCAGACTCTTTTTTTTTTTGTCTGAGTGGTAATTATATATTTATTATTTAGCAAAACTGAAGAAAAAAAAACCCCACAGAATTGTTTTGACAGATGTCTCTCGTTGTCAGCCAGCGTTTCTCCACCAACTTGAACCGTTTAAATGTGTTTTGGAGTTCCCTCCCTAATTAGCTTATATTTTAGATCATCTGCAATTCATTTGCAATTTATGATAAAACACATTTTAGAGAAAAGAGCCTTCCTCAATTATGGCTTTTGTGTTCCTTTCTAAATGTATATATTTTGCCTAATGTTTGTGAATGAAGTTGGCTAACATGTATTTAGTTTCATTTTGGCTTTATTGTAATATACAGTTTTTAAAAGTTTTAAGTATTGGTTTTAACCTTTATGTGTAAATGGTTTTCTTGTGTGATCTTCTAATTTAATATTAGACATCTAAACTATATCTGTAAATTAGAATCCGACTATCACTCTGTTCATTTTTTTGAACAAAGAGTTTAAATAAAGCCTGAACCAGGGAAAAGAGAAAATCCTCTATTTCTTGTTGAGTTCCTAACAAGATTTTTATCTGAATTGCCCTTACGTGCCTGGCCCAGGTGAAGTGTAAGGTATCCTCCAAAGGCAGCCTTTGTTTCACTTTTGAATAGATTTACTAGGAAATCTAAATCAGGCCATTGTTATTCAGAGCCAAAAACCTGATTTATCACATTTTTAATCGTGAATAGGAAAGAAGATTTAAAAACCCAAGTAGTTGTATTATCTTGGGGGGGAGAAAAAAAAGGGCATTCATGAACCAGTAGAACAGAGCCCATTGAAAACATCCAGACCGTTCAAAGCATTTCACTAGTTTCCAGTAACATTTGAAGAGGGGAAAGTTGCCTGACCACTTTATCTTGTTAGTAGGAGAGCCCCGCCACTTAAATTGGTGTAATTTGTTCACGTATCTCTGGCATATACCTTATGTACACCTTAAGATTTTATTTGGAAGAATTATCACAGCTAACAAAAACATACAACGTTTGGCTTCCGTGGGGCTTTATTTTGTCATGCTAATGGTATTTAAATGGAAGTATAACACATTCCAATGGAGAGGGTTGCATTTCCAGAGCTAGACAAGTTTCCACTGGAAAATGTGTGAAATCACAAAGGTTGTTAATTTTAGAGAAGAGATTATAAGGTACCAGGAAAAAAATAATCAAGAGAGATCTTTATTTCACGAAGTAGAAATTCTCAGGACACAGCACTCAACTAATTTTAAATTACTTTCCCACTGACAGAGACCATCTCTTGAGCTGCACGTCTTTATAAGCAACCCAGCTCCTTAAAGTCATTGTTTTCCCCCCAATGGAATGATATTTTTAAAAACCATGAAAAGTTTTGGAAATGTGAGAAATAGGCTCTGCTGGTTTGACCCTGATTCACTAATTAAAACGATCCCTCTCCTGTTATTCCCCGAGCTCTTTGCAATATTATAAGTTAATTCATATGGTTCTGAGCGATTATGCAAAACTAATTTGGACTGTCCAGGGGTAATTATCCCTGACACGGTTAATTAAATCCTTTCAAGCCTTCGTCTTTTGCCTTTTGTAGCAGCCCATCACTTCTCAACACGGAACTTCCTGCGGCTCTCTGGAAATCACCCCAGCCCTAAATCTTAGTTTACCTCCCTGAGACTTGCTGCTCGGCCCCACCGGCCGGAGATTCCCCGCCCCCTACCACCACCATCACCACCCCTCCCCTTTTCCCAAAGAACTGCGCTTTCTGAGAGCCACGCTCTGGAGTATTGAATGAGAAGAGGACTAGAAAGACAGGGAAGGGGAGGCGGGAGGGAGGATGCCTGGGGTGAGCGCGCAGGGTCACACAGCCAACAGATTGTGCGGCAGTTTGAGTACGTCCACAGGCCCACGGGGGGTGGCCAGTTTATCACTCCTCCGTCTGCAGTGGCCTTTTAACCGGCTGGTGAAAACTAGACGGTGCGGACGTAAGCGGAGCGTCCCCTGGACCGGAGGAGGTGGAGAGGGCCCGGTGTGTGTTTGAGAGTCTGACAGTGGCCCACAGACACTTCGCTGGGATCAAGCCAACAACTGCTGCAGATCGAGATCTATCTCCACCTATGCATCCCTCTCCCTCTCTACCTCCTTCCTTCCTCTACCTTCCCTTCCTTCTGCTTGTTCTCCTTGCACTGTCGCTTCTTTATACGGTTTAAAAACAGCCACGATATATCTTGGGTAGTCACAATTGCCTAAGGGCTTTACACGAGTCTCACACGCCGGGGGCCAGGCGTGTTGCCTTTTCAGTTTTGCGCAAACAGGTGGGATTGTTCTGCTCCAGCTCTGAGGCCCGGAGCTGGGGGACCCGGCCGTTCGAGGGACCCGGCTTCGGGGCTCCGTGGAGTCCCTTCGTTTGACCCTTCCCAACTTCCTCGCCTCCAACATTGGAACAAGACAGCGCGGATCTCTCTCTCTCTCCTCTCTCTTTCTCACTCTCTCGGCCAGGGACTGCCTCGGCGAGGGGCGCAGAAGATGGAGAAGAGCATGGACCGTCTTCCCAGCGCCGCGCCAGCCAATCAGAGAGCGGCTCGGCCCGAGCGGACGCTCCCCGCCGCTGCCGCCGCCGCCGCCGCACCCTCCGGCGAGCGGAGTTCCCTGCAACCCGCCCGCCCGGGGGGCCCGCGTCTCTCCCGCGCCCACTGCCCGGTGCAGGCAGAACCAGCGCCGCCGTCCAAACTTTATTAATCTCCCCCGCGTCCTTCCTCCCTCAGCCCAGGGCATCGCAAAGGTCAGCCCTCTTCTTTTAAAAGACTGATATTATTAATTCACTGACAACCCCCACCCACTTCTTTTTAGTCTCTTGCAAGGGGGAAAGTGGGGCGGGGAGGGGGATAGTGAAAAGAGCTTTTTTTAAATTCCTTTTTTTTTTTTTTTTTTTGTCCTTCAGTGGGAGCGTTTAGACAGTCGAGGAGGTTTTGTCCGCGAACAAAACGCAGGGTTGGGAGGTTTTGTGAGAGTGTTGTTTGTTGAAGTGGAGCTAAGAAAAAGCGGCGGCTTTCTCCTCATTGTGAAGAAACCAATCAGTGGTATTTGGAAAACTGTTAGCATTGTGCACTTCTTCTGTGTCCATTGTGAGGCGTTTCTTTTCACAAGGTTTTTTTTTCAGCCGATCCAGCTGGCCGGAATGAATAGCGGTGCAATGTGTACACGCTTTGTCCCTCCGGCCTTCAAGTAGCCCCCATTGAATAGACTAAGTTGACACTGCGTGACAGTGAAACAACATAATAAAAAATACATGAGCCCCTGAATAGGAGCAGGCGCATAAATAAATAAAATGGGTGACCAAAACTGGATAAACTGAATGACAAAACGGTGAAAGGGGAACAAAAAGATATTTAACACGCTAGATTAGCATTAGAATGCGATCTACAAGGCAGAACAATTGATGAATAGGTTTACCGGCCAAGAAAGAAATGGACTAAATGCCCTTTGAATAGATATGCTTTTTGCAAGGGCTTTGAATAGATATGCTTTTTTTGCGAGGGCTGAATGGGAAAAGGTAAAGATGAAGCTATGCAAATGAGCAGGGAACTTTTTTTATATATATTCTAGAAACACACACACATTGCGGGGAGAAGGGTGCCGCCTCGGGATGTTTATAGAAGCAATAATTGCCGTTATTAGCATTGTCTGCAGCAGATAGAAACTGAACAGGTTGGGATAATGTAGGGTAGCAGTACTTCTTCCTCTAATTAATGGTCCTTTGCTACTTGAAAAAAAGAGAAGAAAGGAAAGGAGAAGTAAAAGTTATGCAGAAGTTATGTTTTCTGGGGCCCCTTCGCCCAGCATTGGAATCTGTGGAGCAGCAAGGCTGGCAATTCCAAGAGGCACACTGATCTTAAAACAGGCCAGGGAGCCCTTCCTGGGCTCAGGGGTTGAGGCCAGATTTCCATTTATGCTGCATTTTTGAGAGTCTAATACAGCGTCTAGTA